ACAAAAAATTTAATTATCATCTATTTATTATATAAAATTATATAATAAAATTTTGTTCAAAAATTAAATTAGAACAACTATATCCCATGGAAAGAAAGAGTAGTTATTACTTAGGTGAGAATTTTGGCCGGAATAACTCTGCGGAATCTTCTTGACCAAAATTATCCTTTTTGTGATATTTCCCTTTACCTTCCGCTGAATGTCCACGATTTCCCAAACGAGGTTTTTGTCTGAAGCTTCGACCGGACTTTCCCTAAAACGCCCACGAGTTCGAATACTCTTCTTATTTTCATTTTTCTTCTTTCTTCTTCTTAACCCCCCCAACCCAACCGCGTAGATTTAACCATAATGGATCAATGATTCTAAAAGTCAAGTCACCGTCAAACAAAACACCCTCGCCCCACCACCGCGTTCACATCTCCTCACGCGCTTCCTTCCCTTCTTCACCTTCACCTTCCCGGCCCCCTGGATTTTGTGTGTGTATATATACTATCGATGACTAAGCCTACCTTTCCCATCTCTAATCTGAACTCGTCGGCTTTCACACTTGTTAATTCAAGCATTTCGTCAAACACCTTTAGAGTTATTATATGGAAATCACTCCTTTCCCATTCCTTACTGAGGAAGAACTTGCCCATTTCTATACCTGTTTCCAGGAGATGGATAACAACCTCAATGGGAACAGCGACTACCCAAACAAGAGGCGGAGAAAGGACGATGAATCTGGGTTTGAGGACTTAAAGAAGGCTGAGTGTGGAGGGATTCTGGCATCGATTCTGTTGTTAGACGAGGAGGCGAAGCAAGAGCAGGATCAATGGTTTATTGAATCGGAGCAGGAGAAGGCATCCTTAGAAGCCAATCACAATCAGAAAGTGCAGGCGATGAATGAATATTACAATCAGATGCAAAACCATTACACTGAATTGGATACCATGGATGATTCGAGAACTAAACGGGCTCGGAAGTCTGCTTCCGCCGTTGCCGGAGCTGTGGCGGGTTCGGATGGGGCGGAAAATAACCCGGGGAATTCGGGTTCCAGTTCGGGCCAACAGAGGCGGTTGTGGGTGAAGGACCGCTCCAAGGACTGGTGGGATCGGTGTAACCATCCGGATTTTCCAGAGGAGGAGTTTCGCCAGTCGTTTCGGATGAGTAAAGCCACGTTTAACATGATCTGTAAAGAGTTGGAGCCGGCGGTGATGAAGAAAAACACTATGCTTCGCGACGCGATCCCCGTTCGCCAAAGGGTTGCTGTCTGCATCTGGAGGCTGGCCACCGGCGAGCCTCTGAGGCTCGTTTCGAAACGTTTCGGGTTGGGGATTTCCACCTGTCACAAGCTGGTACTGGAAGTTTGCTCGGCGATAAGGAGTGTCTTGATGCCCAAGTTTCTTCAGTGGCCGGACGACAATAGATTGAAGGCGATTAAGGAGGAATTCGAAGCGACGTCCGGAATTCCCAACGTCGGTGGCTCAATGTACACGACCCATGTTCCAATCATTGCCCCCAAGATCAGCGTGGCGGCGTATTTCAACAAGAGGCACACGGAGAGGAACCAGAAGACTTCCTATTCAATTACCCTCCAAGGCGTTGTCGATCCAAAGGGGGTTTTCACCGACGTCTGCATCGGATGGCCGGGTTCAATGCCGGACGATCAAGTCCTGGACAAATCCGCTCTGTACCAGAGGGCCAATCGTGGGCTCTTGAGGGATGTCTGGATGGTCGGCAATTCCGGGTACCCGTTAATGGACTGGGTTCTGGTCCCTTACACCCACCCGAATCTAACCTGGACCCAACACGCATTCAACGAGAAGATCGGCGAAATTCAAAAAACCGCCAAAGAGGCATTCACAAAACTGAAAGGGCGTTGGACCTGCTTGCAGAAGAGAACGGAGGTGAAACTCCAGGAGCTCCCGGTGGTGCTCGGAGCTTGCTGCGTCTTGCACAACATCTGCGAAATGAATAACGACGAGATGGACCCAGAACTGCGATTCGAGCTTTTCGATGATGAAACTATCCCTGAAAATAGTCTCCGGTCTATGAGTTCCATACAGGCCAGAGATAACATTGCTCACAATCTCCTTCACCACGGTCTCGCCGGTACTGGTTTTCTATAGTCTTTTACAGAGTTATTAAATCTTTGTACCTTTGTATTCCCCTGTCCTTTCTGTGATTCTTTCTTGTTTTGATAGAATAATAAAAAGACGATGATTTGATTTTTTTTTTATGGGTTTTCAACTTTTTCTTGCTAATGAATTAAAAGATTTCTCTTTTTCTCCCATCTGAATCAACCTCCATTAGAAGATGAAATCTTTTTCGATCTTCCATGGAGGGCTCCGGAGAATCTACGTGGTCTGTTTTTACAAATATGAAAAGGTAAATGCCACGTAAGTTTAAAATTCTGATAAAATATCATGTATAGATATTTAAATAAAGGGTTTTATATTTTACATGTTCGATCGTACGTGGAGTCACATAAAATTATTAAAATATTTTTAATAAAATAATATAAAAAATAAAAAATTTTAAAATATTAAAATATTTAATAATAATTACATAATAAATTTAATAAAATTAAAATTCATTTTATACTTTACATATTTAATGATTGTTATTAAATATTTTAATATTTTTAATATCACATCATTTTTAATTGTACTAAATAAATTTTAATAAATATATTAAAATGTAATTTAACTTGTAAGATATTTTTTGGATAAATAAATTTGGTTTTTACAAAATTAAAAAAAAATAAAGATCTCAATATTATATATTTTTAATAAATTTCTTTAAAAAAATTAAAATAATTTATTTTAAAATTAAAATCAATTTTCTTTTATTTTTTTCATAATACTATAACAAAATTATAAAAATTTAAAATATTTATTCTTTTAATTTTTCAAAATAACCGATTGTAAACATTTTTCCGTGAAATGTTAACCATATCATCCTCGAAATTAAAAATTTCAAACGGCACCTGAATGAGACATAGCGGCTGCGTTAGAGGGTGCCGTGGAGAAGGATATTTTTTGCAATAGTCAATGCATTTTCAACACAAAGTTTTAAGGAATATTTAAGGCTGGCTGATGCCTATGCCCCACGCAAGTTTTTGTCTTCCCTTACTTTAATATATAAATCATTTGAGTTTCTTAGTCATAAGGGCAAATTCATTATTTGAAAAGTATATTACAAGCTAAGATGTCATTTTTTAACTAACAAGATAAGCTCTTCTACGTTCTTTTTGACTTCAACAAATCTGTCTCGGCTTTAATTAGGGAGGGTGACTAGCCTGATGATTATAAGCTAAATTAATTAATTTTTTTTTCTTATATATTTCTTCCTTCATCTTAAATCATTTTTGTGTATCATAAAAATGGTTAAATGTCGATGACTAGGTGAGTAAAAACAAGTCTTTGTGGCATGATGGATGCTAATTTACAAGGATGGAGCCCGACTAAAATTTAAGGAGGGGCCAATTGATTAAAAAGGATTTTTTAAAGGGCAAATCCATAAAAAAGGAAAAAACCATTATATTTTAATAGTTTCCAAGGGCTATGCTCTTTAAAGACAAAACTAAGTTCCTTCGGTAACTTAAATTTATTATTATTATTATTTTAAACAAGATATCATGAAACTTTAATCCAATTCAAATAAAAATAAAAATTACACTTTAATAAAATGATAAGGATCGCCCGACCCAACAAACAAGTGCAACTTAAGTTTCTTATTATTATTATTATTATTATTACTTTAAACAAGATATCATGGGATTTTAATCCAACTCAAAAAAAATAAAAATTACACTTTAGTAAAATGATAAGGATCACCCGACCCAACAAACAAGCACAACTTAAGTTTCTTATCTTAACTCAACGTGACTTCGTAGCCACTCATCTTGTTCCAGTAAATTCACGATATTGGATGTTTTCTTTTTAAAAAAGATTCTTCCTCGTCATTACCTAGAAAGAAACGAGGTTTTGAAAAACATTACTTTAGTATTGTTCCAATCTCAAATTTGATGTGGTAGACTAGCAGATGGAGCCCAAAAATCTCAATGGCATAAGTTGAACGTGCAAACCACAATTACATGACACGTTAGAAGATGTGGCTCCTAGCTAATCCATTTTCTCTCCTTTGAAGAATAAAATAATGAATTGGGTGTCACAGGTGCA